ACTGGAGTTTAGGCAGAACTGCGGAAAGTGATCATTGAAGAAAAGAGCTCCCAGAATCCCCAGCTAACATGAAGGATTTTTGGAATTTTATTACACAAAAGTCAATTTTCCAGACTCTGGGCTTATGCTTGTGGAGCATCCTGCCAGCAATCCTCAACCTTAGCTAAGACGAATGGGAGTTGCCATTTAGAAAGACACCAGGTGATATGATCCCCAGCAATGCCATAGTGCTTTTCCAGCTATGCTATGAGCAATTTAAGGAAGGTCTGCTGGAACAAGGAGTTGCAGAATAGCTCTAGATTTTGTACTTTCTCTTGCAAGAGACTCATGCAGTGCTATGTTCCAAGCACTAACATTAGAAACTGTTACCGCACCAGTTAATTGTAAATACATTATTAAATCTGCAAACATGTCTGCTTGGTGTTGTTGTCATTTAATGGTTACGGCAATAAACAGCTGTGATGTACTGCAGCTGCTGAAGGATGTGAATCACTGTCAAAGATTAAACCTAGATCTCACATTTAGTAGGATCAAAGAGGATTAGAAGCATTTCGAATATGGAATTATGCCATAATTGGGTAAATGGAAACGCATCTATCTTGTGCAAATATTATCCATGTTACAATGTTTGGAATACACAAGTGGCATTTCAGGCAATTTTTTTTCTTCCTCCAGGTTTGACTCTAATAAAGGCTTTTGGCTGCTTGATATAGCTAGCTAGCTACTAGGTATATAGAACAGTAGATGGTTGAATCTGTGGCGGGTTCTGACATTTTCTCAGTTTCAGTACCCTTCGCTATTTCTTTTTGTCCCTCAATTATTATTTTTTTTTTAAAAAAATCTCACTCTAACCCATTCTTTCCTAGGATTTTGTCTGAATAATGCCATTGATCTCGTCTTAGCCCCACTTACACTGACCATTTAATGAAGTTTCAAACCAGTATTGAAGAAAGTAGTTTCACTGTAGATGATTACAGAGTAAATCCTGGAACTGGTTTGCGGCCCGGATGATAACACAAATCACAGAGCACTTATGTGCATTTTGTTTTGTGTGCTTTTGTGGTAGTTCATTCAAAGATAATTTTGAAATGCATTAAATGGGGCCACAGTGTTACTCACATCTGTTTTATTAGGAGCACCACAAGTATACAGCTGAAAATTTTTTGAATGATGATGTTGGAGGATATGTGTCCATCCAAATATGACCAAACTTGATCTAGGAAAGCATTAACAATGTAACCCTGAAAGTGTTAACAACAGGATTTTTCTAATTTTGGTGCTTTTCAAGTACAGTACAACCTCTTTATCTGCAGGGGATACATTCCAAGAGCCCTGTGGATATCTGAAACCATGGATAATGCCAACTCTATATGCCAACCCACTGCCCCCGGTGCCACAGTGGGTTAAAGCGCTGAGCTGCTGAGCTTGTTGACCAAAAGGTCGCAGGTTCGATTCCGGGGAGCGACGTGAGCTTCCACTGTCAGCCCTAGCTTCTGCCAACCTAGCAGTTCGAAAACATGCAAATGTGAGCAGATCAATAGGCACCACTCCGGTGGGAAGGTAACGGTGCTCCATGCAGTCATGCCGGCCACATGACTTTGGAGGTGTCTATGGACAACGCCGGCTCTTCAGCTTAGAAATGGAGATGAGCACCACACCCCAGAGTCAGACATGACTGGACTTAATGTCAGGGGACTACCTTTACCTTATATGTTGACAGTATGTGGACCAGGACCATGCCATAGAATCACATTGGTGGACTAGCGAGCTCCACAAACATTTCTGGGCAATGATATTATTTTGGAGCATGAATATGATGAGCCAAATCTATGGATAAGGGGTTATACTATACTATAACACATGTTGGAGCTAACCCTTTAACTCTCTTTCACAAAGAAGGATCTAGTAAAGACAGTTCTAGAGATAAGCAAAAACCTTCAAGCTACATGGGCAAACAATAATACACAGAAGCCATTTATCTATTCACTGACCTATATAACAATACCAATCCCAGATTTTACATCCAGTTTAAGGCAGATAGATGAGTTTTCATACTCCTTCATCTAGTCAATATTCCACATCATACATTGTTCACTTGCAGCACAATACTTATTTGTTGATGTGTAAACCACTTTGAGTCCCCCTAGGGATGAGAAAAGCGGTATATAAATGCTGTAAATAAATAATAATAATTTTCCACAAAGGTCCCTTCCACACAGCTGCGCAAAATCCACATTGAACTGGATTATATGGCAGTGTGGACTCAGATAACCCAGTTCAATGCAGATATTGTGCATTATCTGCATTGATATTCTGGGTTATATGTCTGTATGGCAAGAATATCAAACCAGTCCATACTACAGGACATAAAGCTCGACTGCTCACTGAAGGGAGTGGAGGGAAGGATATTAAAGGCAAAGATAAAATACTTTGGTCACATAATGAGAAGACAGGATAGCTTGGAGAAGACAATGATGATGGGGGAAAATGGAAGGAAAACGGAAGAGGGGCCGACCAAGGGGAAAATGGATGGATGGTATCCTTCAAGTGACTAGCTTGACCTTGAAAGGACTGGGGGCGGCTACAGACAACAGGAAGCTCTGGTATGGGCTGGTCCATAGGGTCACAAAGAGTCAGAAATTACTGAACGAATAAACAACAAATGGCTGTATCGAAGGGCCCTTAGAAATAAACCCGACTGTGTCCCTACTCCCTAGTAAAACAGAAAAGAAGGGGCAATGTGTATCTGCACTATACATTTACATCAGTCAAAGCACATTAACTCTTAAATCTCCATTCTATGAAATCCTGAAATTTGTAGGTTGGTAAAATACTTAGGCCCCCTCTGCACTGCCACATAAAATTCAGATTATCTGCTTTGAACTGGACTATATGGCAATGTAGACACAAATAATCCAGATCAAAGCGGATAAGGTGAGATCAGTGCAGGTAGCATAGATCCAGCCTTAGACTTCTCAGTAGCAGAGGGTGAAATCATTTTGCCTTTGTGTGCCTTGTTGGGAATTGCAGTCCCAAAGTGTCAAAAAGTTGACTTGATTCCCAGCCCTGATTTACACCAATGAATTAAGTGCCTTGATTTAAATGAATCCAGTTTGCTAGCTGCTCACCTTTTGTATGAGTTCACAGTGTCCCACCAGGAAACACTATTCTTTATGAATCACCCTAAGAATCCGCTCTAGAAGAACGGGGATTTGGAAGTGTTAGAAGAACAAAATCCTCTTTGGCAGCTCCCTTTGAAAATACTAAAAGGTCACTTATTTGTGCTCCACACACAGGATGCACTGATATGGATCTAGGACCAACTGATGTGTGCCATATTAAAGTAGGGCAAGATGGTGATTCATGGCTAACTGCTGGGCAAGGCTTTCTGTATCTTTTAATACACAGAACTTAAAATACCTGTCCATCTCTTTGCCATTGTACCTGATGTCTGAACCAAGATAAAACACAGGGCCAAATTAAAACCTTTAAAGACCCCAAGCGTGCAAAATTTTGGCACCCCTATCTACATCAAAATATCAACAATAATAAATTGTAAAATGCATTTTTATTTTTTGAAATAATGCCAAACTTACAGTAAGATGTATTGTCGAAGGCTTTCATGGCCAGAATCACTGGCTTGCCACAGATGCAGGTGAAATGTCAGGAGAGAATGCTTCTAGAACATGGCCATAAAACCCGAAAAACCTATAACAACCCAGTTACAGTAAGATGTCAAATAATGATTATTTTTGATACTTCGATTTGATTTGAAAAGTTTTCTCCTGTTGTTGTTGTTGTTGTTGTTGTTGTTGTTACCAAGGGACCTTCCACACAGCCCTATAACCCAGGATATCAAGGCAGAAAATCCCACAATATCTGCTTTGAACTTGATTATCTGAGTCCACACTGCCATATATCCCAGTTCAAAGTAGGAAATGTGGGATTTTATTCGGCTGTGTGGAAGAGGCCCAAGTCTTTCATTGTGGGAGCCCCATATTTTGGAATATGGTTCAACTGTAATCCTAGCAATGGACAATTTCTATGGTACCCCCTATCCTTGATGACCATGTTTCATTTGCTTAATGGTTAACCCAACACTGAAAAAACACTATTTTTAGACCTTACAAGAAATGCAATTTATTGTCAAAGGCTTTCAGGGCAGGAATCGCTGGGTTGCTGTAAGTTTCTCAGGCTGTATGGCTATGTTTCAGAAGCATTCTCTCCTGACATTTTGCCTGCATCTATGGCAGGCATCCTCATCTCACAACCTCTGAGGATGCCTGCCATAGATGTGGGTGAAATGTCAGGAAAGAATGCTTCTGGAACATGGCCATACAGCCTGAAAAACTTACAACAATCCACTCAAATGCCTTCACTTTGTTGATCTTTTCTCCCAGGATGCATTTCTGTCTCTGTCTATGAAACAAACCATCAATCTCTGCTTGCATTCTCTGCAATTTAGGAACCGATTTCGACAACCTGGATACTTAACACATCTGCTTGGGTTTATATAGCAACTTTTCTACAAAAGATTCTGGCCCCCTGCCAAACAACTGGATTATTTGCTGCATATTTTCTACTTTAAAAAGAAAAACAACCCACACTAGAATGTATAAGCCTCTGTTTATGAAATGGCTGAACTACAACTCTCGAGACCAGGGTTTGAATCCCCACTCAGCCATGAAAACCCACTGGATGATGCTTGCCAAGTTACACTTCCAGGCTCTGCGATACGTTTGTTTTAGAGCCCCACAAGTCAGAAAGGCCTTGAAGGCACGGAACAGCAAATCCATGAGTGTATTGATTATTTAGAATGAATGCCATTTGACACCCCTTGGACTGCCATTGCTCAATGCCATGATACTGAAAGTTGTAGTTTTACAAGCTCTTCGGCCTTTTTTGTCAAAAGGTGCTGGTACCACACCAAAGTAAAACTCCCAAGAGCATTGGGGCATGGCAATTTAAAGGGCGTCAAAGTGCATTCGCCTACAGTGGAGATGTACCGTATATTGCGGGAAGATGTACCACTGTAAGTTGGAGGTTAGCTCCACAATGGCCCCATCTACATGGCCATTTCATGCAGCTTGGAGCCGCCTTAGATAATCAGTATAGAATCATATAATGTGGTTTAGTGAGTTTTAAAGGCTATTTTAAGTGCATTTATTATATTTTGATCTGTTTTTAACACACTGGACTATTTTTTTTAAAAAGTTTGTATTGTGCTTTGTAAACTTTGACTAAAGTGTGGGGTTATGTTGTCGAAGACTTTCATGGTTGGAAACACTGGGTTGCTGTGAGTTTTCCAGGCTGTATAGCCATGTTCCAGAAGCATTCCCTCCTGATGTTTCAACCACCTCTATGGCAGGCATCCTCAGCAGTTGTGAGGTCTGTTGAAAACCAGACAAATGGGTTTTATATATCTATGGAATAATGTCCAGGGTGAAAGAAAGAACTCTTGTCTGTTGGAGGTAAGTGTGAATCCTGCAATTGATCACCTTGATTAGAATTGAAAAGTGTGGGATTGTTAACCACATTGAGTGCCCACGGCAAGAAAGGCAGAATATAAATAAATTTAATAATAATAATAATAATAATAAAGCCTTTGATTTACTCCCACACAGTTGGATCATCAAGTGCCTAGACACCATTGGGATTTGTAAAAACGTTGGCACTTTTATTGAAAATATGATGAAGTACTGGAAAACTGAACTGTTTGTTAGAAATGAAAACTATGGACTTGTCAACATCAGGAGAGGAATCTTCCAGGGAGACTCATTGTCCCCACTGCTTTTCATCATTGTCTTGATCCCCCTGTCAACAATCTTACAAAAAACAAACCTCGGCTATCAAATGTCTAAGAAATCTCACAAAAGTTCACATCTGCTGTACATGGATGACATGGGAAAACCCAAACTGAAATCCAGTCTCTGACTAACACTGTACGAATCTTTAGCACTGATATCAACATGGAGTTTGGTTTGGAGAAATGTTGGGAATGGTGGGAGTGGAAGTTCAAAACACCTCGAGGGCCGAAGTTTGCCCATGCCTGGTCTACCATAGAAGGCAGCTTCAAACTGTATCATGTGGCACTGTTGATGGAGAAAGTTGTGGTGCGCCATAGGGTTAAAAGGAGCACCAGCCCTGAGTCCCTGAAAGGATGGAAAGACGTGTTTCCGGGGGGGGGGGGAGAGAGAGAGAGAAACCCACCCCCGCCCCACCCCTCAAGAGCCCCCAGGCGCCGCTTGCAATGCTTGCTTGTGTGTTTCCTCGGCGGCGGCGATTCCCCCCAGGAGCCGGCAGGTGGCGCCAGATCTCTCCTCTTCCCGCCGCAGCGCGGTGATGCTCTGCTTCTAGGGCGGCGCGGCTCGGCAGCGCGGCACTTGGGCGAGCGCACACAAAGCGGCTGGGCGAAGCCTTGGCGGGGCTCTGGATCTCTCCCTCCGACCCGAAGCCAGGGCGGGGGATTGGAGGTGTCGGAAGGAAGGAAGGGACCGACGTTGGCAGCAGCCCGGCCCCGGGGCCCAAGGTGAGCGGAGCTGGACCGTTCCTGGCCGGCAAAGTTGCCGCCTGCTTCCCTTCTTGGCTGGAAGGGGCTGGTGTCGCATCCGCGCCCGAGCCTCGTTGATCTCCTTCCAGCCCGGGATGGTGGCTTCCCAAAGGCTGGAAAAGAGTCGAGAAGAGGGGAGGGAAGGGGTTCCCCAAGTCAGTCAAGGATGTGGGGAGAACCCGTAGCTGTAGCTCTCAAACTTTCCAAGGAACCAATCCATCCTTCTCCCTTCAATGAGGGCTCTTGCAGTTTGGTCCTTCAATGGGAAGCTAAGGACAAGCTCAGCTAGTCTCTCCCAAATCACTGTCAGGTTGGTTACCCCACTTTTATTTTTGCAGGACAGATACTTGTCCCTTGGACAGTTGTTGTGATTGTTGGTCCAGGACAAAGCTGTGTCTCTTCTCCTTCCTGCATCTCACTCCTGCTTTCCCTCTCTTGTAGATGCCTAGGATATTGGCCTTCCTCCTCTGGTGTTTCCTGCAAGTGGAAGGCAGGCACCCCGAGATTGCCCCCGCCAGGACCAGCAGTTTCTTGGACAATGACAAATGGCTGAGCACCGTTTCCCAATATGACAAAGATAAATACTGGAACAAGTTCAGAGACGTAAGTACGCCTGCCTGCCTGTGTCTTTTTCCTCATGCTGCTTCTGAGGATTTTTGCCCTCTGGGCTGGAGTGGCAGAGAGCAGAGCCGGCTGCATTTGAGCAATGAATGGTACACAGGGGTGTCCGTGCTGTCGAACCGGAAGGACACTGTTTCCTTTCCAAAATCAGTAATATTTCAGGCACCATCACATTATGCATATGTTTAGCTCGTGGTTTGTGCTCTTGGTCTCTCGTTTTCCTTGAGGGCATAACTTTCAGAGAACTTGGTGTGCTTCAAAAGGTTTGTGATAGTGAAATGCGACCTGTGGAGAGGAACATAGGCAGCTGTTTACTCACATGTGCCACAGGGTGGTACAACACTAAAGCTTTCAGTGGCATGCAAGTGGCAGGAGACCACAGCAGGCAGTTCTGTTGCATCCATTCTGTTCTTTAGAATATTTATCACCATGTCAGATTAAATTTTATTGAGATATATCTCAGTTGTGGTTAAGCTACTAAGCTGCAGAACTTGCTGACTGGAAGGTTGGCAGTTTGAATCTGCAGGATGGGGTGAGCTCCCATTGCTAGCCCCAGGTCCTGCCAAACTAGCCGTTCAAAAACATGCAAATGTGAGTAGATCAATAGGTACCACTTTGGCAGGAAGATAAACAGTACTCCATGCAGTCATGTTGACCACATGACCTAGGAGGCATCTACGGACAATGCCGGCTCTTCAGCTTAGAAATGGAGATGAGCACCACTCCCCAGAGTCAGACATGACTAGACTTAATGTCAAGGGGAAACTTTTACCTTTACCTTTATGTCTCAGCTCTGTAGATTGGGCTGTGAGACAACTGGGTGCATGTGGCATGAAGTGGCATGCAAGGAATGAACTACGTAAGTCAAACTCAGACAAAATGTGTACTTTTGAATGATTCCTCCTTGTGGTAAACCACCCCAAGATCAGCACTATGTAGGGCAGGGTTGGATTGTTGCTGTTACAGAGGCTTCGAGGCTCAGCAAGCCTTAGAACCCAGCAGAGGAAATAGTCTGGTGAGCCATTCTGGTATCCCACCCCCTGCTGTTTTGTCTTGTGTCGTACAGCAAGGACATTCTGCTGGGTGGATGGTGGGAAGAGGGAAGGGGAGGAATAATCGCACCATGTAACATTTTCAAAACAAGGCTGTGCCTCAGTATGTATGTGCTCTATATATACAACATAATATAAGGCCTTGAATGAGCAAGGGAAGGGAGAGGTAAAGGCCTGGCATTAAAATGAAGATGGCATCTCCATGCCTGTAATGTTTACAGTCTGTGGCTTCAGTGCACGTTTTCCATCTGAGTTGTGCAGAATCCCATTCTACAGTGATATTTATCTAGCTTCATTATATGATTTAAATAAATGATGAGGTTAACTATACATTGCATAAGCAATCATGGTACCTAAGTAGGAGGTGGTCTGATTCACCCGCCGATTCTCATCAAAGAGGGACTGATTGCCATGGTCAGAATTTAATAGCAATCATGCTGTTTTGAGCCTGGGAAGTTTAAATTACAGCCTCAATTATTCAGCAAAACAAAGGGCAGAATTCATGAATACTGTACCTTGTGGCTGCGGGTTCCTCCAAGCCACTGCCTGGTGATGTTTAGAAAGTTCAAGCAGACTCATATGTCATTAGAACAGAGATGTGTGTTGTGCAGTTTGATATGTTTTAAGTACATCTGCTTAAGTACATATGCATAAGTATTATCTGCTTTGAACTGGAGTAAATGGCAATGTAGACCCAGATAACCCAGTTCGAAGCAGAGAATGTGCATTATCTGTCTGGATCATGTGATTTGATGTGTTTTGTTATATTTTTTTTGAATGTTTGCCAATTTTTGTTGTATACCACCTTGAGTCCCTTTGGGAGATAGGGCAGGATAGAAATAAATTAATATTGTTGTTGTTGTTATTATTTCTTTGGCGTTTTTCTCTTAAAATGAATTAAAATGTTTGAAAATGAAAGTAAGTTCAAACAGGCAATGAAGTATAATCTCTGACTAGATAGTGGCATCAAGAGAAGCTTTTTAAAGAACTGCATGGAAAAGAGGTCTCAGGCCCCTTCCACACAGCTGAATAAAACCCCCCCTTTTTTGCTTTGAACTGGACTATATGGCAATGTGGACTTAGATAATCCAGTTCAAAGCAGATATTGTGGGATTTTCTGCCTTTTATTCCAGGTTATATGACTGTGTGGAAGGGCCCTCATGAAGGTTGCAAAGGAGTTGTATGCTGTACATTCTCATTACAAACTTTTTTAGTACTACCACCTTGCAAAGCCTATGGTTACTAACTGGCAGGCTTCACCTCCTTCCCACCATTGAAGATAATCTGATATATTCCTGACCCTTTAAGAGAGCCCTTATGCACAGGTGAACCTTTTCATGGTATGAAACTAAATGATGAATGGTAGCTTGAACTGCAATGATTGGTAAATAACAAAAGGAATAGCAATAAAAATAATTTCAAAAATTGGCAGCCTTTTTTTTAGTCATCACCAGGATGCTAATAAGAAATATATGGTTGGTAATTGAAATGAGTTTGACTTTTGGTAACCACTTGAATGAAAGGTCACTAAGAGACTCTGTTATTAACAGCCTTGCTCAGATATTTCAAACTCAGACTGGGGTTTCCTTGACTGAATCAATCCACCTGTGATGTGGTTTTTGCCTTCACTTTTCCTAACATTGTCATCTTTAGTGACAAGTAATGTTGTTCCATTATGTATTATAGCCTCAGTTTAGTCTTTTTGGATTCTAGGGAAAGTCCAGGCTTCATTTGCTCTAGAACTCATTTGGCTGACTTTTTGGCAGCTCATAGTATCTATAGAATTCTAGCACTGCATTCAGGTCTAATCATGGTCTGTCACATTTTTTTCACTTTCCAGCTTTCACTACCATACATGGAAACTGGAAGTATTGTGGCATAAATGAGTATTATGTTGATATTCAGTGTTATATCGTTGCATTTGATTTTTCAGATCTTGTGCAAATGGCCTCTCTCTCTCTCTTTCTCTCTCAGTTTTCTATTTATTTCCATAGATTTTTTGGAATAGATCCCTTTGCCCTTGCACATAAGTTGCTGATCAGTTGTTACCTTTTTATTTATTATTTATTTACTCAATTTCTACCCTGCCCATATCAGCCTGACACTCCTACCTGTCTTTAAGCATCTGATGTTTCTCTTTTCATCTAATGAGGATTCACCTTATTTTAGGCTGCATCTAGTGTTAGTTTGTGTATGTGTGTGTGTTCTCCAGCTTCCAGCATCTCCTGCTTTGTTCAAGACTTCTTCTGGTACCCCGTCAATTAGGCTTAGTAGTCCAAAACTGTTTGTCATGTGGACTTCAAAGTCTGCAGGGATGTCCATTGGGCTGTATTTGTCCACTATGCTTAATGTAGTTTCTTAATTTGTTCAATTTTCCTACTTAGCTTTAATTTTGGAAATCTACTATTTATGGTCTGTGCCTGAGTATCTCCCTTTGCTTATTTGTTTTTCAGAGAAGATGGGACTTTTGTATCTTTTTATGTCTTTCTATATAGTCTATTTGGTTTCTATATCAGCCATTTGGTGACATCCAAAGGGTCCTCTCTTTGCTGGAAGAATGGGTTTTAGTGAATAAAGAATTGGCATGCATCCGATAACAGATACCAGAGAGAAGACAGATAATGTATAATAGGTTGACATTATATTCCTTTAGCATATATAATGATGGTATCAGGTTTACAAGCAAGTCCATAGCAATTACTAGCCACCCCCACATGAATGATGCATCCATCTAGATTATAAATATTTCACTACCCACTCCTCTCATGGCATTTTTTTTAAATTTAGGTGGGCATGCAAGGTGGAATTTAAGAGGGCATGCAAGGTGGAATGCATTTGATGGAATTTCATAGGCTTCACTGCAGTTCTAGTAGACCAGAATGCCATTTTTGGCACAATCAAGATTTGTAGGGGGTATCCCAATGGTATTCTTGAGATGAGAATGAAGCTATATTTTTGTGCATTACTGTTGTGTGTCGTCAGGTCATTTTTGACTTCTGGTAACCCCATAATTGGGTTTTCTTGAAAATATTTGTTCAAAGGGGGTTTACTGTTGCCTTTCTATGAGGCAGAGAGAATATGATTTGTCCAGAGTTATCCAGTGGCTAAGAGGATTTGAACCCTGGTCACCTAGAGTCCTAGTCCAACATTGAAACCATTACATTATTCTTCGCTGCTACCCACTTTGACCGCTAATCGTGTGCTTTTGTTTGGATCACAGTAATTAAGCAGATTGGTGCTTGTTTAACTATACAACATTATGAGCAAAACCCAGCCTTGCAACTTCATGGATTCCCCCCCCCCCCAAACACACACACTTGTTTTTGCAGCTTTTGACACCTTCAGATTCCTCCCCACTGCCCTTTTTCTGCCCAGGAAACATCTCTCCAGTTGCAGGAATCAGGCTTTTAAGTATCGTAGGTTATAAATTATCTTCCTTCTCTCATGCACAATATTTTAAATTGTTCTTAAAAATACATTTTTAAAGCTAGAAGCAGACTTCTGGCTACTTTTTTCACACTCTCATAAGACCTGCAGAGGAGACTTCCATCCCAAAGTCTATTTCATTTCCTTGATCATGCTATAGAAGTGCATAGTTCTAAAACAGTGTATTGAAATATTGGTGAGGTGCTCTGGTATCCAGTAACCGGTATTTTTATATTAAGCATTACATATATCTGATACTCTTTATTTTGCTTGTTGGCTCTGTGCAAATAGACTCAGCTACTATTTCACGTTTCTATTGGATCTGACTGGTTGTTGTTGTTGTTATTGTCCTCATCCCTGGAGTGGCACATTATTTGTTTGGAACGAGAAAAGATATCAGAGGAAATATTGTGACATGAGTATTACCTTGAGCAATTTCCATTCATTTCAAGAGCCTTGCACACCAAGCATCCCTGGTAGATTGTTCCCCAGAATCATAGAAGA